AGGCACAAGCTGACGCCGCCTACAATCACCAGCTCCTACAGGACCACCATCAGGCGGAGGAGTGGCTCAACGCGGGCAAAGAGAGCGTGCTGAAAGCGGACTTGGCAGGGTAGGCGACGTTGCTCGAGTCGTACCGCTTCGCCCGTGAGATCCGCCTCGTTCGCTGGCGGTAGCGCCAGCGTCAGGCGGAACTGGAGGCCGCCTACGAGGAGTTCGACGAGGCGGCGGACAAGGTATGTTGCAGGACCTACGATGAGGCGGTGGACATCGCCAGCTCAACCCAGGGCGCACCCCGTTGCCGCGACCACGAAACCGGCATATCTGCGGGCACTGCCGGCAACGAGAAAGAGTACAACATGGTAGGTCGCCCCTTCTCGGGTCCCAAGAAGGCCACTGCTCCGTCCCTCCCATTCAAGGCAAGCTTGGTGGGCCGAACATTGTCGGTCGATTAGCCGCTTGGCGGCGACGCAGAGGTGGACAACTTGACTTCCCGAGGCTCCGAAGGAGAAGGTTACGAAAACGAAGCTGGAGAGCGTCGAGGCGGGACTGGAGAAGACAAAGTTTCAGTTCTCGGGGCTCATGGCCACACATGGGGAACGAGCGCCAGTGATCAAGATTAGGTAAATTGATTATACCTGTAGAGCCGAACGAGAATCACTTTAAACTAAAGTATGTCCAAAATATAATGAAATCCGTCATGTTTATATGGAATCCAGCATGTTCATATGAAATCGGACCGTGTTTAAACGAATTTCATCTGATTAGTTTGAATTGTTGTCCAAATATATGCAGACAACGTTGGATGGCCGCCTCTCGCATCCGTGTTCACGGATGGATGCAGGAGAAAATTTACGGTCGCCGTTGGAGATGCCTTTATTATTAACTCGTACTCCCTTCGTCTGAAAATACTTGTTATGAAAATGAATAAAAAAAGATGTATCTAGAACTGAAATACATCTAAATACATTTTCTTTTATCCATTTTGATGACAAATATTTTTGGACGGAAGAAGTAAAAAACAATCTTGTAAAGAGTCGAGCCCATTTGAGAGTTCGCTAGAGCGTGCCTACGTTTATGCGTGCGTGCGGTGCACAAGAAATCATTGGACGCGAAGAAAAAAGGCTCGTTGGCGACCGCGCTACTAGGGAAAAGCCTAGCAGCAACGCGGGTTTTGGGCCTATTAGTAGCGCATGTTGTCCCACGCTACTGCTATACATGAATAGCTGTAGCGCTCTTTAGAAAAGGGTGCTGCTGATATTATCTGCAGCGCTGTTTACTGGGAAGCGCTACTGGTAAGGCGACGCTACTGCTAAATTCCTCCCCTCGCTACTACTAGTTTTATTAGTTTTTTTCATGCATATTTGTTTTGTATTTGAATAGGCTTTATACAATAATCTTTAGCATATTATACACATACAAATATAATCATAGCATATACATACAATTAGTCTCATCAAATCATGTCATCATCATAATCATCATCCAACACAAAGTGGTCTATCGTCATCATCTCAAAAATAGTGATACAAGTCTTGATTACTTGCAAATACATTGTCATCCATCTAAACAATGATATACGCGAGAAGAACTATCACTTTAAGTACATGAGTTCGTATCCCTCTCTCACATTAGCGTGAACCTAAACTAACTACTGCCTGTCGCTTGGAAACCGGAAACCGGTACACCTGGGTCTGAGTCTCAGCGCCGGTCTCAGTCTCAGTCTTGATGGCGGTCTGAGTCTCAGCGCCGGTCTCGATGTCGGCAAGGCTAAAAAATCGTCTGACGCCCGGTAGACGTCGTCGCATTCACCATAACCCTGTCCTTCATCGTTGCTAGCCATGTTTCCTACGATTAAATCTAGTCAATTAATTCTAGACCTAATAAAATGAATAATGACATAAAAAGGCCTATTGTTTTGCAGGAACGTTGACTCCTTCCCGGTGCGGCAAATCCTGGGCACTCGATATGTCCTAGTTTGTAGCACAAGTCATGCCGAAATTCACGAAAAATTTTGGCATGACCTTTGCTAAAAAGTGAACAAATCAAGAACCTGAATTTTGCCAGAACGGAAATGAATCAACATTCTGGCAAAACATAGGCCACTCAGTTTCAATCCCTGAAAACAACAAAAGGCCACTTGGGCACAATCGAACCACTTCAATGTCGATTATGATCAATGAGCAAACACAATTGAGGATTTTTCATATATCATGACCACTTCAAATTTGCATCTCCTAGTGTATGAACCCTAGAATTCAAATTATGAACCTAGAACTCAAATTATGTCCTACATTTTTGTCCTAATAAAAATTCACTAAAAATTAAGAACCTACTAGACTTGCAACACTAATAGAAATTTATATTTTTATATTGATTTTTTCTCTAAACTAAATCCTACCACCCTAGTTAACATCTAGTTAAACCTTACTTTCCTAACATTTGTAATTAAACACTACAACCCTAACCCTACTGCCCTAGTTAAGCATATACAATTTTTTCCTACGGCGAGGGAGGCAGGGGCATCTCTGTCAAATTAACCTAACTAAATTCTTTTCCTAACTAAATTAACCTAACTAATTTAGAGATAGACAGAGGAGGGGTGGGGGCTTACAGAGGATGGCTCCGATGGTGGCGCGGGAGGCAGTGGTGGCGAGGGAGGCGGGGGCGTCTCCGCTGACGGCGAGGGAGGCAGTTGCGTCGAGGGAAGCTCCGGTGGCGTCGACTGCGACTCCAGTGGCGTTGATGAGGCCGCACGGCTCTGATGGCGTTGGGGGCGGCTCCGGTGGTGTCGATGGCGTGCGGCTCTGGTGGCTCCGGGGGAGTCGGCGTCGGCAGGAGACGGCGGCGAAGTGGGGCGACGGTGAATCGGGCAGACGGCGGCGGGGTGGGTAGAGGGATTTGGGGGAGAAGTGGTGGCCGGGGGGAAACGGTTTTTTGGTTAAGTCAAACTTAGCGGTAGCGCTTTTCGCGAAACGCGCTATAGCTAAGTTAGCTATAGCGATTTTCGCAAAACGCGCTACTGCTATAGCTATGTAATTTCCTTCATCTTTCTTATTTCCTTTTCTGTTTCTACAGCGGGGGTCTAGGAAACGCGCTGCAGCTACGTTAGCTATAGCGCCTCTTACGAACAAACGCTACTGCTACGTCTTTCTCCTTTTTTTCCGCTTTCTCATTTATTTTGCTCTACATTTTATTTTTTTCTTTCTCCTTTTTCAATTTCTTTCTTTTTCATTTACTTTTCCATTTGTTTTTTTATTTTATTTTATTTCCATTAACAGTAGCGTTCTCCGCGCGAAACGCGCTGCTACTTATGTGCTAGCGGTAGCGCGCTTTCCTCAAGACCGCTGCTGCTATGCATAGCCTATCGGGGGTAGCAAAGGGGATACTAGTGGCAGCGCGTTTTCATGCGCACACGCTACTGTTACTATTGTATCTGTAGCGTGGTTTACGGACACGCGCTACTGCTATTTAGCACTAGTGCCTTTATTTGACACGCGCTACTGTTAAATTTCTGTGTATAAGATTTTCCCTAGTAGTGCCGGGACGCTCTGGGCTTTTGTCTCTGTTTCCTCGATGGCCATTTGCATAACTCAGTCGGCGAGTCGATCGATGAGGTAGAATGCGCCGGTTCTCCGTCGTGTCGCGGCCGAGCTAGAAAAGCCTGCCCGCGCTTGTGCGTGCGGTGCAGAAGAAATCATGACAGGCCGAGAAGAAAAGAGGACACAAAACAGCTCGGTGGCGAACGGGATGCTCTGCTCTTTTCCCCCTGTCATTGTGTCATTGTGTCTTTCTTTCTTGCTTGCTTTTCCTAACTAGGAGTAGATCGGCACGGGGATGGCCATGATGATGTCCTCTGGCTTTGAGCGAGCCATCGCAGGAGATAGATACTCGTAGATGATTCGACTTTGGACGGATCCATGGCAGCCTGGTCATCACCTGCACCTGCACGCACGCACCACGACATGGAGGGTAGCAGAAGCTTCTGCCTACAAGTAGCCGCACCGCACGCACACCTGCCCCCAATCAGTGGACCAGTGGTGGTTGTTGTATAGCGTGCGTTGGGAAAAGGAACCGTGGTTCCATCCAACGCAGCCATGAAGAAGCAGAGTTCGTTCCAGAGCAAGCAGCAGAGCAAGATGGGGTTGGCTTCCTTGCTCACCACCTTTCTATATATATCTGGCTAAACAAAATACCTACTCCCTCCGTCCCAAAATTCATCCGTATCTAACATAACTAGATACATCCGTATCTAGACAAATCTAAACAAGAATTTCATCCATATCTAACATAACTAGATACAGTTGTAGTATTAACTCAGCATCGACTAACTAGGTTGTGGAAATACATACTATTGTTGTGGAAATCAGCATTAGTGGCCCAACTCTAAATGGGCACTCAGTCACTGCTAGCAAAGGGCTTAACCCCAACCATTTGAAGCAAATCTCCGTAAAAGTACTTCCTGCAAAAGGACAACACATTCTACTAGCAAAGGACAACACGTAATGGTGCAAGAGTGACGTTCCTGCAAAAGTCACGTAAAAGAGAATCTACAAACCACTCACCACTTGCTCTCTGTAATGGTGCAAGAGTGACGTTCCTGCAAAAAAGCACGCCTCGATTCAAAGGGTACTGAGTTCCATAACTTCAATTCATGTCGTCTGGCCGCGGCAATGATGGGAATCACAGAAATGCATCAGTACTACCATGATAACTGCACCCATGCAAATGCACCACTAATCTGGAACAATTATGCTACCACTTAAGAAAAAGGAGTCCAGAGGGGGGGTGGTTCCGCATGATTTCTTTTTATCATGATGCAAAACAAAAAAAACTAATCAGTTCCAAAATGATTACGGTGCTTATATCATGTTATACACGGTCTATTCAAAACCTAGCCTCAGGAACTAGGATAATGGGTTACCAACACAACATCTACACAAAAGTGCAGACGAAGACCTTCAGTCTAATCACTAATGATATAGGAACGAGACCGGGTCCGCTCATATCTCGCTAAGGTACTCTAGAAGAGATTCGACCTCTTGCCTCAGCGCAGCGATCTTCTGCTGCTGGGAAGCAATCCGGTTTTCTATGTCTTGCCCGCGCTGCTTCTTCTCGACGCTGTCAACCACGGTGGCATGCCTTGCCATGAGCTTCTCCTGCAACTCCTTCTCCTTCGCAACCAAGTCCTCTAGCTGCAGCAACAATACACAAAGAGTAATGATTTTATTTTTGGCATCAGAATAAATGCGGAAAGGTAGTCAAGATTGAGATTGCACGACATGGCAAGGTCAAATATGTTTCTCAATTTCATTTTTTTTATATACAACATAAACGCGGTCGCAGAAGCTTGGTGAGCAAACCTTTGGCCATATCTGATAAGACTGAGGGGATGACTGTACAGATAACCACAGTGGCTTCAGCTCTTTCGCTAATTCCTTCAACTGTGCATCAGCTGCTTTACGAGCTGCTTTGCAAGATTTAGCATCTCCAGTCCTAGACAAATCGTGCAATGATGTCTCTAGCTTATCATGAACAGCTAAGCACTGGCCGAAGATACCCTGGATTTGCTGAACAGTGGCTTGCACCTGCACCAGGAGAACAAAAGAGCCATCAGAAATCAGCACTGCACAATACTAAAGTTATATAATCAAAACAGTACAGAAAAAACTGCACAAAGATGACCACAAGCTCTTTACTTACAAGGAAAAAAACATTATTCATTATTCCAACCCATAAACTTAAGGACAATCCGGTTTAAAAAGTAGTCATGGCTCCTAAATATTAATCTTTAGGTTCAAATTTGATCTGCAATAATAATATTTTCCATGGCTTTCCAAGTACATGCTTGTTTTCTTTATATTGAACAAAACTTGATGTTCAGTTTCAGTTAACTTATCAAACTGGCCTTGCCCTTCTAGCACCCCGAACTGTTCAGTTTCAGTTTTGTATATTTTTCCTGAGTCCTTGATCTAAATAACTTGGAGAAGTTTGAGGCTTAAAGTAATTGTACCTCATCCCATTGCAGCTTTGCCAGATAAGAAGGAGAGTTCTTAGAGATTGACATGTCAGTGTGCATGTAGGCAATACATGCAACAAACAGGAGGAAGAAGCCAGTAATCAACATCATCGGCTCTATGAGCAACGAGATGTTATTGAATTTGTAGTACACCTGCATATTGCAAAGGAAAAAATAGTTAGCTACAGTTCACAACTTCACATAAAACACTGCTTAGGTATCAGTACACAAACGACTCACAGAAAGCATTGTTGATAACAAAAACCTTTCCAGTAGCAGCTTTAAGTATCGTTGCATGTGAAAAGTATTGTTTCATGTGAAACTAGTCGCATAATCCTTTTACAGATTATTTATTCAGTTTGACCAACAATTCACACAGTTTAGAATTTTCATCATGCAAGTGTGCAAACTACTGGCACGACAATAGTTCTGAAGACAAACCTGGAAATGCAAATTATGCTCTGGAATAACATCAGGCTTCTCCAAGACTAGAACTGGCCTTCCAGCAATGTCAAGATGTGAATACTTCACCTGCACCACACATCACTTCTGTTACAACGATGAATAGGATGAGCTAGTTATTCAGTTATCTATCATCCAATGATAGACCACCTCTTGCCATTGATTTGTTGGAAATGGAGCTGAAACATCAATATCCTTTGAACCTTCAGGTAGAACGACCTGTCCGAAAAGAAAGATATATACAAGTGTAAGAGGGGAGTGATGCGAAATTATTCACATAACTGGAAGCACCCGCACAGATAAAATCAATAGTGATTGATGTCAAGTTCAGGGAAACATGGCCAAAATGATGTTTTCGTGTGTGTCAAGAGGATCTAGAGCTTGGGGCTTTCCTAAATAAGTACAGATTTTATGTCAATACGAAAGAAAGTCAAATGATATGGAAATTAGGTCTGGAACAGTGGAACTCAGTAGATCAGAGAAAAGGGGGGAAATGAAACCCCATATTCCTGATGATACTGGTTTGATGCAACTGACCACATACCTTTACGATGAGCTTTTCTATGAGAATCTCCTCCATTGGAGAACCAAATGTGATATTGAGAAATCTCTTTCCATCAGCACTGAAAACAAAGTCTTGAAGAGGTAAACCATAACCAATGGTAAAGGTTGTTTGCCAACCACCAAACAAGGGAAACCTCGGTTCAATTTCCAGTTGGGTCTGCAATAAGATTGTTGGACATGCAAAAGCATTCAACATACATGCGTTGCGCTTTTGTTGGGAAATTTAACCATAATAAATGAAATAAATAGCAGCAGCACCTTCTTAGAATCACTCCATAAGTGTGATGTTGAAATATTACCGATTTCATCTCTGTAATAAATAGAGTGGGCCCTTGCAGGCAATCTAGCAATGAGATGCCTAAATGATGAAACCCCTCTTGCATAAGGTCTAGACTGGTAGTCAAGCCTACAAATAGAAACACGGAATTAGTTATTTCTGGACATGACTTCTTAAGTTGAGCTACTTAAAACACCAATTTAGAACAGAGACAAACCTGGAGAATTCACCCTTCAGTCTGGCACCACCATGAACAATGTTGTAATGTTCTGTAATCTGTACATTGCCCCAGTGAGATATCTCAACCTCCCTTATAAGTTCCTTTGCAACTGCAAATGGGTTGTTGTTCTCAAAGTGCACAATAATAGGGTTGTAAGAAAACGGGGGAACATCTTCATACGGTCCATATTTAAGCTCGGAATCCACAAGTTTTGTGTTTCCATATTTTGTGTATGATTCAACCCTTCCACCAGGCAATCTGATACTAAGCGTCTGGACCTTAACAGGGTAAGGAGACAGGTAGTGAGAGCTATCCTGAAAGACAACCAGCTGCGAATCGGCTTGGGTGATCTCTTCTGGGAACGGCTGGAGAAAGTGTGTAAATACGGTCAAGACATCTAAGTGAAGAATCTTCCCCTTTGTCAAAGGTTTGTGCAACGATGCTGAAAAGAAGGTCAGTTCTGGGGGAACACCAGAAGGCTCAACAACTTCAATCGGAAGAATACTACTGAGACCCTTCACTTTTCCCTCAGTGCCGAATGCTCTGATCGCTGCCAGGTTTTTTGCTTGGATGTTGGGAAAAGCCAGCAAGACTTTAGAGACAGGCTCGGAGCCGGCATTTTCAACCTGAAATCAATGGGTTTATAAGTAACAGCAGCATTCTGACATGACAAATAAGCACAAACAGAGTATTAGAATAAAGCTACTTAAGGATTTTAGTTATATAGCCCCTATTACCGATAGTCTAATACAGTGACCTATTTTACATTCTGGTAAAAAAAAATCACGGCTGAGACTGTACGTTTCTCAGTTCTGAGAATAAGTTTGTGGATACTGGTGACCATTGAGGCAGTGCCCATTAGCATGAAGTAACGAAGGTCTCAGATTCATGAAATGCTAACTACATGAATCACATCGCAGCATATCAATCAGCAAAACGTGACACGCACAAAAATATTACTACTCCCTCCCTCCCACAATATAAGAGCGTTTTTGACATTGACACTACACTAGTGTCGAAAACGCTCTTGTATTGTGGGACAGAGGGAGTACTTGTGTAGGTTAACAGGATGGAACACTGAGCTGGACGACTAAATTCAATTCCCACAGCAGGAGTAGAGCGCAACAGCGTACCTTGAGCGAAGTGAGGACGCGGACGATGTGCGAAGTCAAATCAACCTGCAAAACGCGAGAGAAGGTCGCACAAGACCATCAGATCCGAGACGTCAACCGCGGCGGGTCCTGAGATCTGAGGAGCGAGCGGGGGAGGGCCCACTGACCTTCCGATCCGCCCTGGAGATGACGAGATCAGCGCGCGCGGCGGAGGCGAAGGCCGCGACGAGGACGAGGAGGAGGAGCGCGGCGAGGCGGAGCGGTGTCGCCATGCTCGGCGGCCAGATCGCGTCGCGGGGCGTTGGTTTCGCGGCGAGATGGGGTTGGACCTGAGCAAGAAAGGCTTTAAACCCTCGTCCGGCTCGGTCGGACCCGTCACCCGTGTGCCCGTGGGAGAAGACAGGTGACTCACTGGGCGGTGCGACCGGACCACTTTGCTGCGACTTCCGACTGGGTGCCCGGTCTGGCTCCACCGGTTCACCGTCTCTCTCCCCCCTCTCTCGCATCGCTACCTCCGCCGGCGTCGCTCCATCTCCGACCCCCCGGTGCGGCGGCGCTGCCCAGCCTTTGTCACGCGCCGCTGTGGGCCTCGCCGTAGGCGCTAGAGTCAGAGAGGGCTGCCTGTCTCTGGGCCTCGACGGCCTCCTCGCTCCTCCGCGGCTGCCACGACCTAGCTCGCCGTCGGTCAGCACCAACAGTCCCACCTCGAAGGCAGACTAGACTTTCCACGCGCGGCCCCGCCATGGGCGCCGAGGTCGCCCAGATCAGCGCCTTCGCCGCCTTGGCCGCCCACGCGCTCTGCCTCGCCGGCCTCGCAGCCGCCCACTCCCTCGCCGGCCGCGGCGCGCTCGTCTCCGACCCCGCCCACGCGCTCCGCCTCCTCGTGGTAACCTCCCTTCCCCATCTCTCACCCCAACAACGCTTCCCACGTGTCTTCTGACCAGGACGGATGCTTTTTCTCTAGGTCTGTGAGGCGCCGCTTGTCATCGTGGTGTTCAGTCTGCTCCGGCGAGATCCCAAACGCTGCTCGGTTTGTTGCATCAACTGCTTCCAAACATCATATTTTTGTTCAGTGATATAATAAGGTGATTGTGTTTCTTCGATTGCAGTTCCTTAAGGCTGCTGCACGGGGATTGCTTGGCTTGCCCATAGGTTAGTTCTCCTTGCTGCCTTTGCACATTCATCCGTTGCGTTTGCTCGAGAGCCTTCTGTCCATCCAATGTGAAGAACACGAGTGCCCGTAGGATATCACGCGTTCAAAAAACTCAATGTTGGATCCTAGTCATTAGCTAGTACTCACGACTTACTAATACATGTTGATTTGCTCTTTAGGAATGCAAGAGGCCAGGCTGAGTTATTTTAGGACCTGCCCGTCTTTCTGCTTTTCATTTATTTATCCTTATGCTACATGCTTCTTCTATCTGCCAGGGGCATTCGTAAATGCATTTGGTGCTATTGTTCTTGGCGCGCCTGTTGGAATCAAGTAAGTTCCCGCTGACAAGGTCATGTATGGTTGTTAGTCCCCGTGATGCACGCTAATTAGGAGTCATCACTAGAATAACCATGTACAATGTTAGTTGAACATTAGTGTTTTATAATACCTCATCTGACGGGCTTGCACAAGGATATGTCAATTTAAACATAAAAGACTCATACCAACAGTGTCTTGTCCTTCGTCAAAAACTAATGCCTTGTCTGATGCGATTTTCACATTTTTAGGTACTGGATAGCGACAATCTATTGGTCAAGTCTTATGTCGCTGTTCACAGTAAGTGGCATTTGCTGTGCTTTTACTTATTCTTGAATGAGTACTTCAGCACAACAAGATTGACAACTGAAAAATATTAGACTTGCTGGTCTTGTGCTCATACTTCTTGACAATTACTACCTCCGTAAGTAAATAGAAGACATTTTTGCAGTTCAATTCGTAACTAAATTAAGATGTTTTTGCAGTTCAAATTGAACGGCAAAAATGTCTTACATTTAGTTAGAGGTAGTATTATTTACTATAATGTACTTGCATAACTGAGGCATGACAAGCTAAATGCATGGCATTGCAGTTTGTTCCAGCAGCATGTGTCTTTGGAGCATCCAAAGTGGATTGGCAGAACGCGCTTTCTCATACTATGTATATTCCTGAATCCTAGATAAGTGCTATTGTGATGAGTTCATTCCATAGAGAGTTTCTATTGTCATTGCCCTGTGCTTACTGATACTTTAGTTGATTTGTGTTTTGTATGTCAGTTATTGCACATCATCCAATGTTGTGGACTACATGATCTCTGCGCCTTCTCATGGAGCTGTAATAGGAGCGTGGCTTGGTGCTTGGCCTATGCCCCTTGACTGGGAGAGATCTTGGCAGGTAAAGATACTGACTGCGACTTTTTTTGAATACCTATGGGACGACTGGACGAGCATCATAAAAGACGGGATCTTGTAGAGATGTTTATGCATATCCAGTAGGTAACATGATAACTTAAAGACTAGCTCGTGGACTAACTATTCAGAGCGGTGATGCAAAATGCATTAGTTTGTCTGATGCTCTCTCGTGTGTTGAATGCTGCTGTTGGAACTAGTCTATATTACCACCCCCATTTTTTTCCATGCATTCTATTTTCAATGAAGTATTTACCGGCACATGGATGAGACTACCTTTTCTGTGCCTTACAATTGACTGCCTGCTGTTATTGTCCCCACCTTGCTTTTGCAACTCATGCCTGTTTCCTTTTATCTTTTGTAGGAATGGCCAATATGTGTCACTTATGGTGCAATTGCTGGGCATGTGATTGGCATGTTAGTATCGCTGATCCTCATAGTTGCTCACCAGAGAAGAGCTCGTGTCAAAGCTGACTAGCCTATGGATGATGAATACCTTTTTTCCTTTAATGATTTACGCAGGTTATGCTATAGATTGTTTCTTCCCAAAAAGCAATGTACTTTTGGTTAGATTTCCAGTTGAGTCAGAGTACTGGTGCCTTCCAGTAGCTTGATATATTAGTGGCACTCATTTACCTTTTGGGGGATGAAGATTATTTTCTTCAGAGCTCTTTCTTATGTTATGAGACTGATTGCCATTTGGTATTTTTATTGAGATGAGAGGGTTTTTGTTTGTGCTTAGCAGGTTAAATTTTTTGACTCAGTAAAAAATTGTATTTCTTATTGTACGAATCATCACATCCTATGTTGGCTATACATTGGACTAACATCAATACAGAAACTTGTCTCATCCCTGGCTGAAGGAAAAATCTGCGCTGGGGATGTCGGCATCGAGGGCTGATGAAGAGACCGACCTCCGCCTGTCAGCAGGATTTAGTCTGTGTACAGGATGCGCCACCACAACCGGGTACATGTCCCTAGCCTCCTCCATGGTCCTTGGCGAGGTCGGTGCGCTCTGGGGATCGTCAGACCGTCCCATGCCCTTCTGAAGCAGGTGCACCGGCGATGAGCCCCGGCTAGGCATCGGGGACGTGCCTCGGCTGGGTGTTGCGTCGCCGATCATCTGCGCCATCAGCATGTCCGTGTCTCGGACCTTCTTCTTCTCCTTGGCCGTGTTCCGCCAGTTGGTCAGCGCCTTGGCTGTCTGCTCGTCGAAGATGGACCTCTTCATGTTTGATCCCATCTGCGTACAAAGCCAGCGCACACAGATGATTAAGGCTGCTGTTTCTCCTCTCCCAGAGCAATTGTTCAGAGATCTTCATCAACGGTTTTATTACCTGTGTGACTAGCGCGTAGAGGGGGAAGGTGATGTAGCTGCACAGGAACTGGAGAGCCAGCCCCAGCACGACCTTCATGATGCTCAGCCCGATGTTCATATGGAAGCAGTCCTTCAAGCCGGGCGTGGCCTGCGACACAGGTAAATCTCTGTCAGTGCAGTTCATCAGCAGCAGCACTTGGTGCCTTGACACCCATATTATTAACTGACAAGTTCATCCGCGGCGTACCACTGTCCACACGAAATGTGCCATCTGAAACGCGTTCTGGAACAGCGTCAGGTGTATGAAGAAGAGGACCCAGTCGGGGCGGTGGAACCAGAAGAACTTGTTGCTGGGCTCGACCACGGGTGCCCCCTTGATGACGCTCGACCGGTCCTGGATCTCCAGGGCCATCTCCATGATGATCATCTCTAGCTTGGTTCCAACACACAAGAGGATCTGGGAAAGACAGATGGACAATGACAATTTGAATTATTATTAGGTGTGATTTCGCATTGCAATCAAATGGGGTTTGGCTGTTGCTTTCGGCGGAGAAATTCGCACTTACGATGAGAGGGATGAAAGAAACCCAGGTGAGTGTGCCGATCCCTATGAGCAGAAAGAAAGGGGGGAAAGGTTAGAAAATGAACGGTGGTTACGAGACAAATAAATTACAAGTGTTTTAGCAGCAAGGCAACAGAGAAGGGGGCAAAGACAAGGTCCATACCGTCGATATCAAGGAAGAGGGTGAGGATCGCCACAGCCCACAGCGGGAGGCTGCGAAAAGAGGCCAAATGTGTCAAGATCATGCAACAAGGACCAGCAGGGGCAAAGACCATGACGCAGCAAACTGATAGTATTGTATCATATGGAAGCTAAGCAATATCATATGGAGCCTGACGACAATTGTATAATCATATCCATGGAATGCAACCTACCTGATGCCAACGACGACTTTGAAGTCGTCCTCCATGGACCTCTTGATGTACTTGTGGAAGTCGAACTTGCTGTTCTGCGACAAGTGCGCCTGCGCAGAATCATGGAAAGAGAGAGCATGTGATCATTGGTGTTGGAACAGTACTTATTTCAGAAGCGTCGCGGCAATGGCCGACGGAGCTAGAAGGAGAGGGGGCTTTTGGGGTATTACGTACGTTGATGAAGCCTGCCCTCAAGGTGAGGTAGTCCACCTTGGTGACCGACCTGAAGAACTGCCTGAAGAAGGCCACCACCCATCTGACGCCGGGGGTGCTGGACAGGCCCAGGTGCCGCTTCACGAACGACGTCTGGTGCGTGAAGCGGAACCGCGCAGGATCTGGAAGCACGGGAAAGAGAAGAACATATCATCAGTTCACTCGCTCTGATCATGCCTGCCTCTGTAAATGCATCAAAACAGAAGAGGTTTCATTTGGAAAATTGTCTGACCATTTGCGAACTGGTATTCCAAGGAGGCGGTCTCTGTCTCCCATTTCTTCCATGTTCTCATCTGCCGGGGGGAGGAATAAGAATATTATGCCGGAGCAGGTTAAGGATTGGTAGCAGTTTAACTGAGACAGACGTAGGATGAGCGCCACCTTGCCCGG